GGGGGTAGGGGCTTTTTTTTGCACCACTTGAATTGTACAACTGTTAGTTGATGCCATACACTTAAAAAAAAATAAAAAATTCAAATGAATGAAAAATATTCAAGTGTACTGTTTCATTCAATTGATTTATATTCCCTCCGTCCATTTTCGTTGGTTGATTATACTAAAAATAGTTACTTGTCCGGTTTATAAGTTAATAGATAAGTTATTACTTATTAAGTTTTTAATTTATCCTTATTATCACAAATTTATTACTCTCTCTTTTTTTTTACTCATTCGTTATTGATATGACATACTCAAAGAAATAAATAAAATGAAAATGTTATTATATCATCTTTTTAATATAATAAATCAATGCTCTAGTAATAACTATAATTAATAATAAGTATAAATTAAAAGTAAGTAATAAATTATCTTTTAATATTTAAAATTGGACAAATAAAAATAAACATATATTTTTATTGGTGAACAAGTAAAAATGGACGAGACAATATATCTAAAGAGTTATCATTCTATTTATTATTGTTTAAAAGTTATGTCAAATTAATACTGAACCAATAAAAATGAATATCAAAGAAGAAAAAAGAAATAGAAATTGAGTACTTTTCTGCCGGCAATGTTATTATTTTTTTTCGATCAATCAAATGTGGAGAGAGATGTTCTTTATGAGAATAGCCAAATGAGTCGTGTGTTTTTTTGTATTACACTATTACTGATAAGGATGCATGAATGTTGACATTTACTCCCAAATTAAGCCATTTTTAATTTATATATTTACTATTTTACCAAATTAAATACTTACTAAATATCCAGAAGGAAAAAATAAATAAAGATTCTTCCACATAGTTTTATACAGATAAACAACTCTTCAACAACTTTTGGTTTTAAGTTAAATAAAGGAATACATTAAATAAGAAAAAAAGATCATTCCTTCATGCATGATTCAGACCTGTTCATAGTCAACATAGGTGTTTCATGTCTATGTATCACCAAACACCACAGACCACGCTGTTTGAAATTTCTTGGAAACACCACCAAGGAGCCCGATGCGGAATCAGTATTTGAAATTAATGAAATTCTGATTTTAATTTATTTAAATTAATAATAAGTACATATTCATAAATTTTTGGGATAAATATAAATTTGAACCAAAATTACTGGCACTGAGTTTGACCGAACTCATTGCCGATACTCTCACCCTTCACCATCGTAAGGAGCTAATGATAAATGAGATCTTTTTATTTTTAATTATAAGTCTCAAACGAGCCTTAAGAGTGAAGAAGTACATCCTATTTTAACGAATCATATATATCGATTAGGCTCTCTCGATGCACGTTAGTTTACAATATGCCAATCGAGGGCTAAATCTACGATTCCAACTTCATTGCCGGTGCAAAATTATACGGAGAAAACATGGACCGGAGGAAACAACATAAAATTAGAGGGTTCAATAGCTGGGAAGACTACATTGATCAATGATAATTATATAATTGGTGCTCTTTAGGTTTATTGAATTGTTTGATGGTACGATACTATTTCACAGCTATTATAAAAAGAAATTAAAATAAAGTAATTATCAAATATTTAGTAAAAGAGAAAAAAAAATTCTTGCAAGTGAAGTAATTAAGTCCAAGTAGAATTCATATCATTCTTTCTTCCGCACTTGTGCCTATTGACGATACAAATCCACATAGTTTCCATGATTTGACTTTTGAGCCTGATCAATTTAAAGTATTATACACATCGGAATTTTATGGAACTTTATAAAATGAATTTAATTTCAATTTAGAGTTCTTGAAAGTTATTCTACCCTAAATCCTACCTAAAACATATATAAAAGGTAGTATATTCTTTTGAAAAGACATTTTAAAAGTTTCATAAATTCATGAAATATTTATAAGAAGATCCACAAAATTAATTTATAAAGATCAAATAAATTTCAAGAAAATCCAAAGCATATCCAATGTTTGAGATATACATACATTATCAGTAGTCCTCAAATTATGAAAGAAAATTCGATGCAATTATAATTTATTTTCTATTATTTTAAAATTTGTTGGAGACAATATGAAACCTTTCAGCCAAAAATGACAATAGTATATTAGTATTACTAGCAAGATTATTCACGTCGGTGGACAAAGTCAACCATATTGTTGGATTTATTTTGTGTTTGTTTTAGGGTTTAAAAAGCATATGATAATTTTCTTTAGGAGTGGAGGGCGTACTGTGTTTCCTACGCAAAAAACACGAGTAAAAGCTTGTCAATTATTGGATTGAAATTAATTAATGATCATAAGAGTTAAAGTGATGAAAACATTCAAATTTCTTAAAAACGTCATACATCTTGTGTAGTAGTTTAACCGAAAATATTAATTTAGAAGACTTTGAGAGTTTCTCCTTAGCATAAGTGGATCTGCAAAAATCACAAGTTATGTTATCGAACATAAAAAATAATAATTTACGACCTAAAATATCTTTGAAGAGCGCTTTTTATTAATAACTAACTCTAGCCAACATATATATATATATATATATATATATATATGGTAGAAAAAAACTTCTATTTTCGACACCAACATTGATATATTTATATTATAAGCTAGGGTTTAGAAGGAGGACAAACTAATTAATGAGGTAACGTGTTTTCCATCGAGAATAAGTTGTGAACGTAAAATAGTATTGCCTGTAAGGTAGAAGTTCAAGATATTTTAAGAGAGTGAACTTGTTCAATTGATTACAAGTCATGTCTTATAGACAAAAGTTAGAACTTAGATATGTATATGTTGTCCATCGTGCATAAGTTTTAACTTTTGTCTACAGGTCACACGTTTAAGATATTTCAAGATAGTAAATATCTTCAATTAATCACAATTATGTCTCGTAGGCAAAAATTAAAACTTATTTTAATTTTTCCTAAATCGAATTAGCCTTAAGGTTTTTCTTAGTCGAAGCGTTCATGTTTCTACTTCGTTTCCTATGATAATATGAATTTAA